AGTTAGTTCCGTATCAGAGCTTCCGACTGAAAAATTTACAAAGAAAATTTTCTCTACTATCTTCATCCCTCAATTGTTTTACTCAGGGTGTTCTCTATTATACCTGCGGTGACTATATGTTGCCAGCCTGCAGTTTATCACGTAATCAATCCTATCGCGATTCGCAGCCAACTCCTTCTCTGTCTATGAAGGAATTTTGCTGTGGGACTTATTTGAAATGTTGGTGCAATACCGAAATCGGAAAAAATGATACAAAGTTTCGGCATTCATAAGATCTCAAATGTACCTAACGACCTAAGCTCCGGAATTACAGCCATATTTGGTATACTGACGGCTAAAAGACTTACCACGGCGTCAGATAAGAAGCCTACAGTATACAATCCAGAAGGCTACTTTCCACCGGAATGGGGCAAGGTAATTCTGTCTTGGCATTGAACATGTAGAAAGTGGGGCCACCAACAAATACATACATCTACATACAGTCTGACAGCAGAGCGGCGCCCCTAGTTTTTAGAGCACACGCGGCCACCTCTACGCTGGTTTGGGACCTTCAAGAACCGGGTTTATCTCATTTGAGTACCGGAACAGTGTAGAATCATGGGCAATGAGTTGGTAGATATTCTCGCCAGACAGGGAGATGCATAGAGACTCATAGGCACATGACACTTTATTTTTCTGTCATGGAGCTCCGTTAGACGATAGAGGACTCTCGCCAAACGGGTGCCTTTGTTGACTGTCCTGCGGATCACAAAACTAATTAACTCAATATATGCCAATGGAGAGGTCGGCGGATGAGTGCAATCAAGGGTTTGTCTATCCTGAGAGCTGTGGTGAAAATAAATAAATATGTAAATAAATTTGCTTCGAGTGATCTCTCCTCCGCAGAGTTGGGATATAGCAGGGCTTCAGGTATCTGATAATGTTGGTTCTTAATTATGACTTACTATGTTCAAAAATACACTTTAGGTCGAATGTTTACCTTCTAGTCCAGGAGGTTTAACGCGCTTGAGTATTGTTATAGCGCGCCCTATTTATATAAAAAATTTAAATTCGGAAGTTGGTTTCCCTAATGGAAAAACATACTTAAAAACCCGTTTATGGCCGATTAAAAGTAAGACTCCCTCCCATCAGAATAGAATCCTACAATTGTCGCACAAATTAATGTTACAAATTGCAGCCAATCGTTCAAGTACCGACCTTAACTCCGGCTACTATAGTTAGAATAAACCTGCAGTAAAGTAGACTAACCAAAATCATGGCAAACACAATTTTAAAGTGCGAAATTTCTACAACCCTAAAATAATGAAGGAAAGATAACCAAAACATTTGTAAAAGCAATGAAGTTTCATTAGCACAACAAAGCAAACAAGGAAAGCATGAAGATTCCACAAACCCAAATGCCTCGAAGCGAGAAGCTCAAATACCAGAAAAAGGATATCCACAAAAGGACTTAAATGTGATGCGCACTGAAGAGCGAAAAATATGTAGGCAAGCAAAAAAAAAGGATTACAACGCATAAAGAAAACAGTAATATTTTCACGAATGGGGTAGGGAATAATTGTAAATATCTACTCAAAGCATTTGTAAAATTTTTGATTGCTGCCACACGCCGCAAAGTATGCCACGCTTACGCGCCATATTTAGAACCACTCAAAGCAAATAATCGGGCGATTCCAGTGACATTTGGGTTGAAAGCGTCATTGTCTGTTGGCGGAAATAACGACACAAGCATAACGGCATTTATGAGCTGTCCTGTTAAGGCAATTTCATAACCCATTTATGTTAAGCAGCGGCTTTAGGATCTCGCTTTTCCGGTGGTCATGCGATTGTAAGCTGTGTAGAAGCTTGCAAAAATTTATTATTGAATAAGAAGTGGCCAATATTTCAAGATATTACGTATGTAGTCTTTTAATTTTGTATGTTAGGTAATAAATTTAAATGGCACTTAAAGTTCTCTGTTCGCTTGCGTTTCAAGCTTGAAGTCTATTTACCGAAAAAAAAGATCCAATTTTCACTTCGAAGGCCCATGAATATTTAATGCAATTATATCAAATTTAAATTATGCCCACAAGCCAAAACGCAAAGTTTTTCATTCGAACCAAAAAAACACATTCAATTCAATTTCATTTCACTGCACCAACCCCCACTCCACCCGGCAGTGTCGCAATTTAAATCAAACAACAACAGCGCAGCACACAAATGCTCATTAAAATCTCTTCATTAGTTCCATTCGTTTAAAAATAAAGAAAAAAATATATTCACAATTTATGTTTATACGTCTTCATATTGTTTTTGTTATTGTTGCGAGCTGTGCAGTGGAATGTTTAGGAAAACGTGACAATAATTTTATGCTGCCTGAATTAATTGGCAAGCGATGACAAAACTAACAATGCCCACACACACACACAAACAAACAAACACAAACACATACACATGCGCATGCACATGCACACGTACACAACCGCAATGCCACCTTTCAGATGCCAAATTACGCATACTAGTGTTCGCCCAGCGGTTGAAATTCAACCGATAAAATTAAGGATAGTTTATGTAAGTTGAATGAGCTAAAATAACATTAGTTGGAATGGGTTAAGTGGAGGGGAGTTTAGCTTAGTACTTGGCATAACATAACATAACCATAACATAAGAATAAATAACATAACATATGAAGCATAACACACCACAATATAACATCGCACACTCTTCAGTTGTATTTCCTTTTTATCCCTTTTTTCACCTCTATCTAAATCTTATTTATTTTGGTTCATTTTATGCCAAATGATGTTGCCTTTGATGCCACATCAAGTGATATCATGTCATGTGGTGAAATTGGGTGTGGTGAGCTGCGGAGTGGTGGAATTGGGTGTAGGAGTTACGGTGTGGTGAATTTAGGTGTGGTGGATTCAGGTGTGGTGAGTTAAGTTATGGTGAGAAAGTTGAGGTGTGGTGAATTAAGATGTGGTGAATTTTGGTGTGGTGAGTTGAGGTGAGTTAAGGTGTGGTGAGAAAGTTGAGGTGTGGTGAATTAAGGGTGGTGGATTTAGGTGTGGTGGATTTAGGTGCGGGGGTTAAGGTGTGGCGAGTTGAGGTGTGGTGAATTTAGGTGTGGGGAGTTAAAGTGTGGTGAATTAATGTGTGGTGAGCTCAGGTGGAGTAAGTTTTTAAGTTAAGATGAGTTAAAGTTAAGGGGTTATGATCTTTATCCTTATCTTCATCTTCATCTTCATCTTCATCTTCATCTTCATCTTCATCTTCATCTTCATCTTCATCTTCATCTTCATCTTCATCTTTATCTTCATCATCTTCATCTTCATCTTCATCTTCATCTTCGTCGTCTTGGTCTTCATCTTTATCTTTTCCTTTATCCTGATCTAAATATGTCCATTCTTTTCTTCATTTACATATTCACCCCCACCATTGTTATTAGGTTAGGTATTTAAATTTTCCTTCCTCTTTGTCTTTATATCTCGGTTTCTTTACTTTTATTTTAATTTCTGTATTTATCACTTTCTTCTTCTCCATACTCAACTTTACCTTCTTCCTTGTTTGAGTCTAATCTATTCATGTACATACATACATACATTTTATTCCTGAACTGCTGCTTAGCACGTTTCTTTAATTCGCTATCAATATTAAAGCATGCATTTAGGGGGCATTTCCGCCCCAACCATGTACATGTGTGCATTGGTATTGGTGTGACTTTTGAATTGATTTTTTCGCTCTATTTTAAACTGATTTGAAATTTTAAAAATTGCCTGCACATCAGCATCAAAATACCTTTCTAATGATATATAACTGTTTATACCTTAGAAGTATAGTTTAGCCGTAAAAGGGGTGTAAAGGAAACATGATTGCCTATTTATATAATGATTTTGCGGGAAAATAGACCAAAAGCAACAGCAAACAAGTAAGAGCAGCGCTGTCTTCGGCTATGCCGAAGGCTTCATACCTTTCATGAACATCTGCAAATTTTAGTTTGACAGGTTACTGCTTTTGAATACATCTGCATACATCGATAGAGGAGTTACATACTTATATAAAAAATCGCATCTAAACAATCAGAGGTATGGAAGATATAAAAAAAAATTTATATTTGGACAATCAGTTGTATGGGAGCTATAGGTTGTAGTGAACCGATCTTTGTAATTTTCCCCGTAAGCATTCCGTTGATAAAGGGTGCAAGTGCTGCAAAATTTCATGTTCGTAGCTGCATAAATGGAGAAGTTATAACGAAAAATCTCATATCTGAACAATCAGTTGTATGGGAGCTATATGTTATAGTGGTCCGATTCTTCCGGTTCCGACAAATGATTAATACATTATAAAAATACACCCACCTACCAAATTTGATCCGGATATCTCGAAAACTGAGAGACTAGATTGCATACAAACAGACAGACAGAAGGACAGACGGACAGACGGACATGGATAAATCAACTCAGCTCGACGATCTGATCATATAAGTATACATTTTAATGGGTCTGTCTCTTCTTATTCTGGTACTTACGAACATCGGACCAAAGTTATAATACCATTTCATGCTCATGAAAGGTATAAAAATAAAGCAAAATAAAAATATTGAAAACGAAGACAAATAAATCATAAAACGACAAATCAAACTATGTATATGGATGTATATATTAATGTGTGCGACAAGAGCCAAAAATGACGTGCAAGAGCATAATATGCAGAGGCAAAAAATTTAGGGGAAATTTGTGTGGCCGCTGCTGAGTGTTCGTACTGCCCCAGAGACCATTTTGATATCGACGCTGGTTAGTTCTTTGGCAGTCTGTTTGGTAGTCGATTACTAGCTGGTTGCGCATCCCCCCCCCCCACATAGGGCTGCCTAACAAGCAGACGTCGTGGTCGGGTGCTGGCTGCCGTTGATGGTGATGCCAATTAAAATCACTTGTCAAAATGTTTACAAAATTGTGTGAGCCCGACCGCAGGAGCGCAGACGAACCAGATACATATATGTACATTTAAACAACCAGACATCCCTATGGCTATACAATACAATATTATATACACATAGACTTATATACTAGATTAACATACATATGTATGTAAGTATGTAAGTACGGGCGTAAACAGAATTTGCATGTTTGCTGCCCTTTTGGCCTTAGCACATACACTCACCCACTCACTCACTCACTTGTTCACTCAATTAGGCACTTGCTGTTGCTCTCAACGCTCTTCGCTCAATGGCAGCTCACTTCATGTTGGGCATAATCAAGTGTAAAATTTTCAAATGTTATTTTGTTAATTAAAAATGACGGAGCCATGAAGCCTGTGAAAACTAAGAATAATCTGTACAGTATGGGAAAAGTGGTGAGCTGCAGCAAGGCGCTTGCTAAATGGCAAGCGAGATTGTTGTTTTTTTTGAAGAGTTTTGGGTTTTTGGACTTTCTTAATGTTAAGAGGGCAAATGGGAGTAGACTTTGGTATTGGAGGAAGATGTGTGAATATGGGCCACATACATACATATGTGTTATACATACATACATATATGTTTATGGCTCAGGGGACGCAGTATTAAGCCAATGACAGACTCTATTTTTGTTCGTTTCTTAATGAATCTGTCAATGCATACGAGCATGCTGAAGAAGTATAATTTACAAAACAAAAATAAAATGCATTTTTATATGAGGGAAAGAGAAGCTCGTCTCAATCTGGTCAGTCATTGGCAGTAATTTTAGCCTCTAAATTAGAAAAAGGTTTTTCTAACAACGGTCGCCAGTCGTCAGGCAATGGCAAACCTCTGAGGGTAATTTCTAAAAGCTTCTCATAAAATCCACTTGCTGTGTAGCAATATTAAGACGCCCACCACACATAGTAGGAGGAGGAGCTCTGCCAAACGCTTAGCAAAAGTGTGGCAACAAAATATTGTTATTATTGTTATTATTATTATTATTAACAATATTATCATAGATATGTCAATCTTCTTAGCTATACTAATTTCTATTCGAAATATTCAAATTGAAGAGCACCATCTATGATCTTTAAATTACTAAATGATGTATATAAGTTTAGCATCTAAATTATTCCAATTTTTTTTTTCAAACTTCATTAATTTTTAATTCTATTATTAAAACATTTTTTATGCGCATTTAATAAAGTGCCACCCGCTGCCGAGAGTGACTACAAAAACTTAGCGTCCTCTATTGTATGCTGCGCAAGTTTACTTATTCATTCATTAAAGGCAAGTTAAATGTATATGTAAATGTAGACTTTTAAACTTGACTCCAGTGGTGTGTCCACTATATTTTCGGCGTCGCCACAGTAGCCATATTTTAATTATGTTTTTACTAAATCTGCTTTGTCTACTTTTCTGACAGCTTTCTCTCACTTAATACAATGTTAATATTTTAGCTGTGGTTTCTCTCTTACCCGCCCATAAGTTAAGTGTTTGAAAAAAGCGTCTTAAATCTTTTGTTATCACAATGTCCCAGTCGGAAAAATAAGCAGTGAAATGGCCGTCTCGTTGCCATTTTTTGATAGACGATCCATAAGTCCGTATTCGATTATTTAAACATTATTTTTATAATGTCCGGCGCACAGTCTAGGAAAAATTAATTTGACTCCCGTCTCCATTTTAGACCCGGCCGGGATTTAGATATTCATTACTTTTCAACAACTTAAATCGAAAAAATTGCTTCTATATTGAAGCTCTCCTACCATAAAATAAATAATGAATGGGTTTGAAACCTACATTTTTAAATTTTTTGGATTCGCAAGGACAAATAGGTAATTTTTAAGCTTACAAAGTTTGTAGAACGAAATTCGAGGATTCGAGGATTTTATTTTTTTCAATAACAAATATTGCGAAATTTCAAGGATAAAATTTTAAAATTACATTTTCAATATTCACCAGCAATTCTGCACCAGAAAATTGAATCTGTTTAAATTCTACAAGATTTCATCATTAATTTTTTACCCATACTTCTTCTCTAAGCGCATTTCTCTGGATTTTTTAAATCATTTTTAATTATTGATGTCAGAGTGAAAAACTAAAACCGCAATTTTACAATATTTGGCCCATGATTTCGCGAATATATTGATATTTGTGTTTAAAGTTTACCATCGCGCGGTGTTATATACTATATAATGAGCTAGACATTTATAAACAAATATTAATTATTAAATAAAAAAGAAATATAGCCAATACTGGTCAAGAAAAGGAGTTTCTATTTATTGCCATCAGTGCCTAATTACAAATACCGAAAATTTTTGGGACCTTAAAAAGGCCAGTATTCATCGATGAATTGAAGGCCACAATAACCAATAAATTAGTAAGAGAAAATTAATGAAAAGAGGTTGGTAAAAAGAAGCGGCATTCGATTTTAAATTAAAAATCAATTCACATATTCAGTCGTTAGTATTTTATTTGAGTCTACTTATAAAAATTATTTTTTCAAATAAGTAGGTTGTCTACTTTACCCCGCACATATGTAATTTTAATTATAATTTGTTAAGCACTAATTCCATATGTTTGCATAACATGAAAATCCGTTTATAAAGCAGAAAAATATTGAAGAATTATCTCTATCCGCTTCGTACTTTCCTGCACCGACAAACAGCGCTCGTCTTTAATGAGTTTGTATTGAAAAACAAAAATTTGTTTATGTGGTATTATTTGGTTTGCAAAATAAACTAGAAATAGACACGAAAATATTGTAAGTGCTAATTGCTTAATGCATCAAATGAATTCAATTTCATCGAAGCATCGCGATGCAGAAGAATTGCTCTCAGAAATGCCTGATCAGTTTTGTAAGATAGTACACATTTATGAATGTGCCTGCGTATGTACATATGTACATATGTATGTGTGGTCAAAATCGAACACATAAATAACACGAATGTTTGCACTTAGATAACCATATACGAGTACCTACATACATATATTTATTATTAATTATTTATTTATTTATTTCGTTTTGTCTATGAATTTACAATTCTTACAGACTAAGCATAGGTTAAGTTAAAAATAATATTATTACAATACAAAGAGAAGACTTTAAACCAAATTTAATGGATGATAGATAGGTCAAGGTCTAAAGAAACAAAGAGCTTATTCAATTCAACGAGAGTTCTATTAATCTGGGCATTAAAGCTATATACAGTCTTACTTTTGACAACATAAACCCCATTAAAAACGACGCAACATTCTACAAGAAACAGTGAAATTAATTTTACCTAACAGTACTGGACAATCAACAATGCCGGGGATTATGTCAAATAGAAAAGAGTTTGATATTAGAATGCGTCTGTTGAGTAGAGTCATTAGGTTAATCAACTGACAGCGAGAGCTATATATGTACACAGGCTTAGGTTCAGAGAAGTGTAGAGAGCGTAAGCCAAACCGGATAAACGCTCTCATACGATATACTGTTACTCCCAAAATTGAGCGTACGTACGGCTCTTTTTTTGTTAATTTTGTTTTAAAATATGGCTTATGTTTTAGCAAATTTAATTGAAATCCAGGAATGATACTGTGTACAAAAATGAAAGAAAAGTCTTTAAAATTTCAGCAAAATCGCGAACTTTTTAATACGAATTTCCAAAAAGAATTCAGGAATTCAGTTTTATAGCCCATTATTATGTTTTTTTTTTTAGTTTAATAATATGCAGATTTCAAATGTCCAAAAAATTCGCGTTGATTTTTGAGAATTTTTTGCTGGCTATCCTACACACTTTTTTCAAATAACAAAAAATCTACATTTATAATCGCTGGGGTTGACACCCAAGCAAGCTTTTTTTTTTTTTTCTGATTGGCTGAAGATGAAAGCTTTCTGATACAACACTTCGCTGAACTGGTTTTCGCACGAGTTAAATTATTTAACTGATTAAATTTTCCAACAACAACTGCACGCGAATTTGCTTGTTTGCGAAAAATTTTGTTCATTTAACTGGTTTAAGCTCATTTAACATGTTTAACTTATCAATTTGACCGCACTATAAATTTTTATTCAGAATTATTATGTTTCTTAAATAATTCTGGTAGAAAATAATAAAAATTTAATATTTCTCAATAATTTTACGTACGTGCTTATAAATGTTCAACATGAAATCATCAGAAGTGAGGAGTGTAGAAACATACATACATACAGGAGACATAAATAATTACATAAATTTCTATTTACATAGTTTACACTGTTTAATTATATTTGACACATAGACCATGGACCCACAGTCCTGACCATAAATTTTACATGGGAACATTCCATCATCTTCTTGGGCTTTAGCTTTTTTTTTGAGCTTTTGTGATTTGCAAGCTTATTTCACATTTTTCGTAAAAATGGGGGAAATACAAATTTTGTAGGGAATTCAATTTCCCACATTTTTATACGTAAGGTTTTAAAAAACATTTTCGTCGTAAATAATTATCAAAAGTGAAAAAAAAAATGATACACTGTTATGGTTTTCGCCATTTTTCAACAATTTGTGTTGAAAATACGTATAATATACAAATGCCAACGTTATAAAGAATTTCATTCTCCACAACTTCTGTACCAACATTTTGCTTATGGCGTCTCAACCAGGGCGGGCATCTTAACTACGCGTAAATTAGATTTTGCTTTACAACTTTTGTGACACTGGAGAACCCAACAAAAAAAAGCAGAAAAAGCAACAGCAGCTTCTAATGCTTTCGGGGTTACTAATTACGAACCTGGAACAATATGGCGTCCAAAAAATTAATATCGATTCGATCCGCTTGAAGTGTTTTCATCTGGGCAACTTGGGGTTGATTACGAATCTTTGGTTCGGATCGAAAAATTTAAAATGATGGGCCCAATATGACGGTAAAAACCCTTCAATAGTAGAAAATCCGTTCAATACGTATCTTCCAATTTCTAATAATTTGCCGGCAAAATGTTATGAGACCCCAGGGAAAGTATTTGTTTTTTTTTTCATTTTATTGCATTTATTGCATTGTACTATAAAAATCGTTACCACCCATGCCCGTCCTACAAACGCTGACAAGCAATTTAGTACGGATAATATTATTTAAGCTTCTACGGGAAAAACACAAAAAACTATACTTCAGCCATCACCGCATCTGCAATTTAAAAATTTTTTAAATAAATTTGTATGCAAATTTACATAGATGTATATTGGTTTATTGGTTTAGCCAAAAATGCAGCATCAACTAAATGCAAATGAATATCTATATGGTCAAGTAACCGCAAGCAAAAATCAAGTGAAACTTACAAAACCGCAGCAATTTTGAAATTCGCATTTTCAAATTATATCAAACCACATTTATAAAAAAAAAAAACTATAGTAGACACATATTGGATAAGATTAGAGTAATATATTTTATTTAAGAAGTCATGTGTCTGCATAATTCATACAGCATTCCGCCCCTTTGTTTGCTCTACCACACTTATTTAGCTGATGGAAAAATGTGAAGAATATGAAAAACCAGACCGCCACAGGCAACCGCAAGACAGCAAGGCAGCATTACGAGCTCACTTACAACAAAAGTGATGCTATTAACCGCATTTACGATATTACATATTTTAAGTATTGGTAAGCAAAATTTTCCTAGGCGTGAATGGTGGCAAATAAGATAAGAATGCAAAAAAAAACTTGGAAAAACATGCGTAAATAAAATATTAGAAAAATAAATAACAACAAAAGATGAAACTTTAAATCCACCCTTATCTGGGTCACAGGACGTTTGCTAGGCTCAGCAAAAAAAAAAAAAAGTGTCATGAAGTGACTGTAGACGCGCCTGCGGTTATAGCAAAGGATTTGCAGTTTCGGTGGTGTAAAGAGATGGATAATAATATTTTGGCGCTTACACTTTAGCGGGACTTGTATATATGTATGTACATATCTTTAAACAATTTCATGAGAGCTCAAAATGTATGAGTCTTTATGATTCTGAGACTCATTTCGGGCTCTTTCATGACATCATACATTCTGAGTTGAACATAGCTACCAAAAGTTTTCGTAGAATTAAAAGTTTATAAATAATCAGAATTATCTTAGAAGGGGAAACATGTATGCTCTTTACTGACTTTATTTTAGCTTGTAATTGGGTCACAACTCAGAATTGTGAGACTTTTCGTAGAGAGAGTTTTTATGCACAAAATTGTTTGTATACATTTTTAAATATCCAAAATTCTACTTTGCTTAATTTTAAAGGCTTAGGACTATCTGGATGTATTTGACTTTTGTGACACCCCACCAACGTCGCGCTGATTCGTCTATAATCGTGGCGTGGATCATAATTGCACTGAAACCCAAACCGATGTGTTTCAATAAGTTAATTATTAAGTATTAGCACTTACATACTAGACTCCTCCAATGTGGTCTTCAAATTAATTGGCTGAACCAAAGTAAGGAAGGAGCATCTCTATTTTCAACATTACCGTTACTTTTATGGCATTAAAGCTTCCATCCACTTGCATGCCATCATTTTGCAAAGCGCATTCAAATAATATTGTCACGTAAGGCAAGTTATCAGCTAGAAGGTTACACAATTTGTTTTCTCCCCCCAATACACATTTCACCCCCTCCATGTCGCGACAGCATCGCCTTTGGCAATTTGATGGGTCGGTCCACAGAAGGCAATTAAGTTCGTTAGGTTTTATCGGCGTAAATCATTTTCGCCAATTTCCGAGCGACTCCAATTAAATATCTACTACAAATAAAAGCCGCCAAAGTCAGCTGCTGCTGCTGCTGCTGCTCGCCAACTGACAACGCCTTTTTTGTCGGCACTCATTTGCACAGTGCCATGAATAAAAGCAGCAAGCAATTGCAGGTTTCGAATTTCGTAGCAACCGGATGAGCGCATAAACGAGCTACGCGACTTCCCTGGAGCAAAACGGGGCATTTAATTGCGGAGATACAAGCACTCACACTTGTATGCAAGTGGTTAAGTAAACTGCAGGCAGCGCAAATAAATAGTAAATTAAAGAACGCTTCAAATGCGCCAATATGACCGAGATTTTTACATACTACGATTAATTTAATTTGCATACATTCATGTTGAGCTGGCGACCTATACATACATATGTATTCGTAAAATAATACTACATCACTTACCGCACATTTGGGCAACGGTCCCTCCGGCATCTTCTTCTTCCATCCCAGCAGTGGCGGTATGCAAATCAACGCGGACATTATCCACACAGCGGCAATCATAATCGCTGCACGCGCCGGCGTTCGCGACTTCAGATAGTCCACCGCCTTCGTGATGCTCCAGTAGCGATCCAACGATATCAAACACAAATTCATTATGGACGCCGTACAGAGCAGCACATCCATGGCCGAGTGTATGTCGCACCACCAGCTGCCGAATATCCAATAGCCCATCAGCTCGTTCGCCAGCGAGAAGGGCATTATGATGAGGCCGAGGAAGAAGTCCGCCACCGCCAGCGAGGCAATGAACCAGTTTTGTATGTTCTTTAGCGACTTCTCCGTCGCAATGGCAATGATGACCAGCATATTGCCCACCACGATGATAATCATCAGTATCGTCACTATCACCGAAGCGATCACAATTTGCGGCAGCGTATAGCCGCTGGGGTAGCGGCCGTCCCATTGCACTTCCGTCACGTTGCTCGTCAGGTTGGCCGTCACACCCGTCAACGTTTGATTGGAATAATTGCCGATGCCATTCAAAATCGAACTGCTATTATAAAAGTTGCTATTCACGAAGTAGTAACTGTCATTGACATAATTATTCGGGCTGAGTGTGGTGATGGCGCCCTGCAACGTGCTCTCGAGCAGATTACTCAGACCGTCGGCATCGCTGGCATCGACTGTAAGTAGTGGCGGGTCGAGTAATGTTGCATTGCTGACGGCTGGTAGCGCACTGCTGCTGCTGCTGCTGCTGCTGCTGCTGCTGCTGCTGGCCGCAAACGAGCTGGTGATGTTGCTGCTGTTGGTGGGCAGGGCGGAGTTTAGTGCGTGCTGCTTGCGAGCGAGTGGCAGCAGTCCAGCGCCACTGCCACTGCCACCACCCGGCCAGCCGCCTGACGCGGTCGTCGCCGGCGGCGCAGGCGCTACAGCCACATCGGTGGGACTTGTTGATGAGAATATGGCTAGGAAGTCATTCGTATTGATATTGCCCGTATTAATGTTGCCATTAATGTTCGCATCTAATTGGCTATAATCCATTTTGCTGTTGCTGCCGTTACCGTTGCGGTGTTGCCGCTGTTGTTAAAGCTTTTTGGTCGCTGTTGCCGCTGCTGCTGTTCGAGCTGCAGATGGTGTTGGTGGAGTTGTGTGAATGTGATGATATTTACTTTTATGCTGGCTATTACTTTTACAATGGCGATTATCGCTAGCTCTATTACTTAGCATAGAAAATTACTTCTTAGGCATGGCCCATTTGCTTTCGCGTTGCAGATGAGTGAGTGTTGGTGTTGTGTTTAGTGCAGTTCATTCTAGGTAATCAAGCTTTTTCCAGAATTGCTATATTGCTCCGGAAGCTGCAGTTAATTTGACATTTAATTATTTTTTAGCTGTGGGCATTTATGTATGTATATCGAGCACACTTTGTTTCAATTGCAAATATGTATAAATGAAAATCAGTTGGGCTATTACCGTTACTATTGTTAGGCGAGTAGGATTCTTCTTTTCTTTTATATTCAAGCATATTATTTTGCGGTATTGATTTTAGACTTTTATTTAATTTTAGGAAATATTTCGTGGTCTGCATAAGTGTGATACTTTCTTCGAAGATAATGGAAGTTTTTTAGTTTTTTGACCCATTGTTTCTTAGTAGCTCTGCAATTATTGCTTAAGCTAGTTGGTATTTATTAAAATATATTTATTTTATGAAAAAAAGCTTTAGGTTTCTCACACTTTTTAATTGGTAAAATCTTCTACTTCTAATTTAATATCGATTAATCACTATTTTTACACTGAGTTGATTTAAGTGAATTTGATTTGCATTTTTGTATTAAACGATGCGATCTATTTATTTTTGTAATGCTGATTATTTGGTTTTTATTTTTTATTGTTTTAGAAAAAAGTACATTCTTAACTAATTTCACTTGATCGAAATTTCATCTGAAAATAAAATAAATTTTATTAGTGCTTCCGAACAAACTTTTGGTGCTTTCCCAAGCGAATCAGAAAAATTTGCTATTTTTTGTAAGGATTCAAAAATAGTTCGTTCGGCTTAAATCGTGGCTATTCGTGGATTGGACTGCGTCGAAAACTTTCTTTTCGTCATAAAATGTTTAAGTAGAAACCTTTTCGATAAATGATTGACCTGTATGTTACACTTAAGAAAATTTAATGCGATCCATACAAATTTTAAAAAAAATTTGCAATCGTGTTTAAAAAATTGCCACTGTTATTGAATATTATGGCAACTCAATTTCAATGTAGTTTTCTTAGAAATGAGAATAACTTAGCAAATTTCGTTTGAAGTACACTTACGAGCAAAATATTAGGTATAAAATTCAAAATAATATTGTTCGCAACTTATGTTGGTATAATTACTTTAATAATTTTCATTTAAAATATAGTTCGATCCATTAAAGACACCACATAACAACAGCTAACAAAAGTTCACCAAAACTATCCACATTTCAAAAAAAAATTTCATCCAAATTACTGAGCAAAATCAACTTGTTTTCTGAGTATTGAACTAAACCAATTTTCTTCAAACGATTGAGTCATAAGTAAACATGTAAATAATTTCTCCGTTTTTCCAAGTCAGCCTTCGAAATCGAGATATGGGCCATCGAAGTTCGAAATAGAACCTTTGGTAAAAAATTATTTTTAAGTACCCAGAAAACAAGTTGATTTTTTTGCTATATAGTGGTATCGCTGATCTTTGAGAATGTTTTGGATCACTAAAACGTCCAAAGCTCACAAAAAATGTGAGCCCAATCGTTAAATGTGATGGAATTTAGGAAATGTTTTGGTTCCTGCTTTTCACTCTCAGAAAACAAAGGTTATACTATAAAATGACTTAGGTGTAAATACCCACTTTTTTCCAATGTTTGGTGAGATTTTATCATTGTTCGGAAAAATTCTTTTCGCGAGATTATGCAAAAAGAGGTTGAAAATCAAAAATTACATATATTTGCAAAGTCGCGCGCAAAGATCAAATTATATATTCTAAAACTGCGTAAAACTCTCTAAAACATTCGTCTAATTTCCAGACCTGACGGGCCGGTACTCACACTTTTTTTTACTAATAATCTTTAGCATCTAGATTTCAAAGTAAATTTTTTGATAAGAAAATAGGAAAGTACCAAATAAATGATAAATACCTCACCTGAATATTCCACGATGTTTAAATAATTGATTGCAGTTAAAAAAGGAAAATTTCCTTTAATGGCTTAATCGCCAAAGGCAGCTTAACTGATTACTCGGTATCGCGCCGATTCCCGTATTTCTTTGGAAATGTATCGTTCGTGAAGAAGGAGGGTGAGTAAATAATGTGAAATGTGGTATTTGTGACCTTAACTTTTCCCTCTCTAAGTCCAACCGTTTTTTTTTTTATCAACTGTCACCGTGACTTTTTTCTACCTCCATATAGTCGAAACACTGTGCATTGTGGCGTATTTTCTTCCATAGAAAAAATTAATTTTTTTGATGTTGAAATTTTTATAATTTCATCAACTTTATGTAAATTTTGAAAGTTTTATTTTTATAGTTTATGTTATGAATCAAAATATATATTGTGAATTTAAAGTATTAAAAATAAATAGATACAAATAATTTGCAAACAATATCATTTTAAATTTGTGCCTATTATTTTATGCATAAGTGTACCATGAGGAATGTAATTTCTTCTTTAGCTTTTTTTATTTAAGTTTAGCCGGAAAAAGTTAAGCTTCTTGCGTTTTTCCTAGCTTTTTATTAAAATTATTTAGTTTCTTACTTCTATTTCAAATTTTAACTGCAAATTTAAATAGTGTTCAAATATTTAATCCGATCTATAGAGTCTGGTATGGAATGAAGAACAAAGACAAATATCATGGATATTTTACATCGGCGAAGGAAGTCTTCGACTTTATCGGATACATATCTCTGTGGGTAGACTGGTTTTTGAGCTCTTTTGACACTCACATCGCCTTTGGAAATGAGCCAGCGGCGGGAAACAGTAATTGCGGAACGAAACCCGTCAAATTAAACACGGATAGGTCGAAGCTTGACGGAAGTGACGAAGTGACGGTGGATGGTCCTTTCATGCACGGCGCCAGCATCAGGCAGAGCTAGCATTTAAGAAACAGTCGAATGTCTGTCAGTTCGACTTTGGCAAGGTCAGTCTTGTCAGTTCAACATTTGGTTACCAGGCGATATTGATATTGCAGGGAATCGCGTTGACTAGAAGTTTATCGGGAAAGGATCGTTCGAGTTGTACTCACCAGCTAAAGAGTGGGTGTACTTTTTCTTTGGTTAACTTATTGGGAGAATAAGATAAGTTGTTCCCTCCAAGAATGCATCATTTTTATCTTCAACAGTAACAATGTTATGAATGAAATATTTGCTTCGTTAATTTACCTTTCTTTCTTAGCCGTAACTAAAATTTTGATTTAGCCTTTTTTAGCTTTATTATTTTTTTTTGGCCATTTAGCCTTTTATCTGAAAAAGTTCTGCCACTGACACTGGATAGGTTAAAAAAATCACACTTTTAATGGGCACGTTCGCAAGGCGCAACAGCTCAGCAATCGTTGCTATTGCACCTTCTGAACGCGTGGTTTTGTACTTCAGATCAACTGAACAGTTGCGTGTTAGATGATCGCTCGTTATTTTGCTAATCGTGTGAGACAACATGTTGTTTGTAGTTGAATCTTATAGCTTATAGCTAATGTATCAAGCCATTCAGCAAATGCATTACTATCACTGATCTATTTAGCAAAGGTTGCTGCAACTGCTGCGCCTTATGAACCTACCCAATATACATAATTTCCGTAAACCTTCAAGTGCGAGTTTATAAAAATTTTTATAACTCCGTCAATTCTGAACCGATTTTCATTTCTCTGGTAACATCGAATTGGTGTTTCCTCCCGGTATTCATATCTTTAAAGGATCATCTCACTATTTTCTGTGGGAAATAGTTTTGCGATATAAGTTTTCAATGCGCTTTTCAGTACACGTATAGCAGTGAGTTGAGCCTAACTGCTTTGTGCAAGCTATAATATTGATCCAACTTTACAATTAATTCAAGGAAGTAGAATCGATTTCTCTTTAAATTGTGAAGCGGTGAAATAAATATTTGTACATACATTTAAATGAGTGCAATGCCTAGCCAACCACAAGGGATAACTAGTAAGATTTTATCGCGAAAGGAAATATGTATGCTGGGAAACTTAAAGCCGCATTCTAATGGCTCAGTTATGCATACTTGGCATTGCATCAGAGTTGTCACATAAAGAATCTGTTAAATGAGCTTTGCGTGTAAGCGGTTACCCAACGCACAGAATAGCATATGTAGAAGTCTGTTGCTTTTTGATTTCTACGTAAAAGTGACATGCTAAATATGCAGTGCAGTGCAAGGCATGCGTAACTGAGCAATAATTCTTGGCCCTGCCATGTCAAGCTAAAGTAATCTTATATAAGAGGTTTGTCGAGCTTCTCCTCCAATTGCAAGTTACACAGATAGAGAGACCTATATATATATTTTTTTGTATGAGCACCTTTTTTCATGGCAGGAATGAACTTGCCCATTGCCTGCCAAAGGGCGACCGCTGTTGGGAAACATATTTCTAATTTAGATGCACCTCTTAACACTCAGCCACTGTGTGTAACATTTTGAATAATCTGACCTGTACTAGAATTATATACTAGAACTCTAGCAAGGAAATTAAAAATTTATCACATATTACTACATTAAGGATTTACTACGGGCACTAGGCAAAAAAAGTTATGAAAAGTGTCTGCTCAAAATCTATTTTTATCCGGCAACTGCAGTTTGTGCTTAAACAATACGTACAGGAGGTTATTTAAATGAAAATAATACACACAGCTCGACCTCACCTATTCTAGATGAGATTGACTTTTTACTATCTAAATATTGTTATTTATTTATTTTATTTATTTTTTAAATTCACGCCTTCATTTTACTTACATACAATTATTGCGAAGACCATTTCGTAATGGTGAATTTTTAATTTTTAGAATTTTTGTTTGTTTTTATTTTATTTTTTATA